AACCCTCTCTAATAGTACTCACTGTTTTGTTTACAGGCCCTTGCTGGGAGTCACTGATTGGAGCTGATGCACTTCTTTGCTCTGATGGCTGAGGTGATGGGTCTCTAGATGGTGGTGCACTAGAAAAAAGTCTCAAAGGACTAAGTCTTCCTAACATGGATTCAAAACCAGATGTAGCTTGTTTAGAACCGCTTCCTTGTGAATCTGTACTAAGTGTCGCCGTCTGACTGGCGTCAGCTTGCTGGTTGGATTCGGAAGACTGAAATGGCAAAAGAGACTGAAGGGAAAACTTTTTTTCTGATGTGGGTTCCTGAGAGGCAGGTGGAACTATAGCTACGGGTGGGGAAGTACCACCACTTTTGGGAATAAATGAAAGCAGCTTTGAAATGCCTGACTCAGGTTGGGGTGATGATTGAGAGGTAGGTGGTTCTGTGGCAGTAGCACCAGAGGTTTCTGTGACTTCAGTATTCGCTTTGGGGATCAAAGAGAGAAGTTTTGAAATACCAGAGTCCGCTTGGGTTGGTTGGGGAGATGGAGTTGTACCAGGAGCATCTCCCTCAGTGGCAGGCTTTGATCCTGTTATTGTACTAAACAATGAACTCATTGCATTCTTTACTCCAGCTATGCCCTGTTCAACAGCATTATCCTCCTTAGTATCAACTTTGACATCGTCATTACTACTCTCTTTAGGTTGCACAACTTTAGCATCAGTTGGCAGTGCTGGGAGTTTTCGTCTAACTGGTTTAGGCATTGATTCGTAGTTGCTGATCTCCTCTTCTTTTACAGCCAAGTATTCCGACACTGAGTGAACTAAACTCTTTAGTTCATCCATTGGATCTATATATTCTTCACCTGGTTCCTTCACCGGCGACAACATAGGATCTTGTCCATAACTTGACCTCCCTTTACTTGAAAAGTCTTCTCCGTAAGGTGGCATATACTTGCCAGGGTAGTAATAACTTTCATATTCATAGCAAGTATCTCCCTCAGTGAATGTCAGGTCATCTAATTCCTCCTCAGAGCCAAAGGAATACTGCATCTCATCTGAACCAACTGAGTTATATTCCCCTCTCTCCCTGATCCTTTCAGCCTCTTCCCGAGCAGCTTCCTCCTCACGAAAAGCTGCATAGTTCTCAAGTGTGTCTTCTAAAGCAGTTTTGGCCCACAGTCTAGTTTTGAAAAGTAGACTCTCTCTATCTGACAGCTGTCGTAGCTGTTTAGCAGAGGGTATTATATCAATTTCAGGAGGTGACGATTCATCCTCAAAGCTGCCGGCTTCCTTGTAGACTAACCGCACTTCTCCACTGCCGAAGGCACGCCTCCGTCTGTGTGTCCTGCCATCCAGCTCCAGCAAGTCCTCTGGGGAATGTGCATCACATTCCACTGTCTGATAGAATCTGCTGACTCTGGACTCGGATGGACTGTCACTAATTTTATAGATGATGCTTTTGTCCTCATCCTCCCACATTTTCTGCTCAGCATCCAAGTAATCGTCCAAGACACCAGAGTCAGGCACTTTGTATTTACTCTCCCAGTCCTCCACACCCATACCTGAATCAACAGGGATTATTTTTACTCCACCCTTACTGTTTGATTTCCTAAAAATAAAGTTAAAAGTACCAAGTGGGAAGCAGCAGAGGACGATGCAAAGAAAAAAGAAAGAAAAAGATATTAAGCATTAGACATGAACCAAAAGCAACAGATCATGCAGAAAAGAAAAGCACTGTAGAATACCTTTGTAGTAAAAAAAAAAAGAAAAGAAAAGACAAGAAATACAGACAGAGGAAAAAGTATGTGATAGTGTGCAAATTTTCATGGTCCAATTTTTTGTCAGAAAGGTATGCTTTGACATATGTCAGTTGTGATTGAGAAGTTTTCTGTTTTCGCAAAACAAGTTGGGTATAATGGCTTTTCTCCGATTTTGGCAATACATTATATAAAAAAATATTGGTTTCCCATGGCAACACACTCTTTAAATAGAGTAAAAAAATGAAACATTGTGCATCTTATGAGCTACAACACTCATAAAAACCTTTCCTGATTTCAACCTTTACTGATCTGCCTTTCAAGGTCACCTTATTGTGCGCCTCTGGACTAGTTCCAGTGTAGCTGCCATTTACAGGTCACTCTGTGGAAGTCCTGCGATCACTATTTGCTCATGCACATTTGCATTTCCATCATAGAATTCAAACAAACATCTGTGTCAAGGGTCATTACAGGTGAGGAGAGCTGTCTACAATGTGAACGCAAAATAGCACAGTCAGGTCAGGAGGTCAGATACACACACACACACACACACACACAAATCCTAGCATGTCTTTTGTTGTGTGTGTGTGTGTGTTTCACAGGGTTATGCACCCTCAATTTGTCCTTCATTGTGCCACTGTCAGCTTGGCTTTCTACTGTGACATGCTGAGGCATCCATGGGGAGACATTTGATGAAAACAAAATTAACTGTGGTGCTTTCAGGAATGCCGCAGCAACACCATCTTCAGTTATCACTGCTGCACTTGCTATAATTTCTTTCCTAGATTTTTGTCCTCTTTCCCAAATTGATATTCAAGTCAGTGGGACGCCTTTTGAGAGAGATGTAAAGTCGGAGTGGTCAGCGAGAGATTTAATTGAAAGGGCTATCATTCATTTATATCAGATTTGGCCAGATTTGGCCTTAGGCAGTGAGGTACTCAAACATAAAAATGTTCAATCTATTGACTATGTGCATGTTAGCATATGCTACTTCCGGTGCGGAAACTCCTGTGGGGAGCTTTGTTTCCGGTGTCCTATTCACGCCCTGTTTACGGTCCAAAACAAGTTAAGCAAACGAATGAATGAATCAAGCGGCAATTTACATTTCTATAGATGTGTTGGGCATTTACCCAATATATCTGTAAATGATGTTCATCGACGTCTATATTTTTTCCCCGCGCCTCAGAGCAAAAGAAAAAAGGGATTCAAATGTTATATTTCTCAGCTGTCCCTCGTTTATCGCGGGTGTTATGTTCTAAAAATAACCAGCGATAGGTGAAATCAAGTAGCCAATTTTATTTTTTGACGGGGCAAAACGTTTGGTGGACATTGTGGACATACAGCACTGCACTTCAGAGTCACACTGCTAGCATCGATGCAGCGATTCTGTAGAGGAGAGACGTCACGGAGGAGATCGTCTGCAGCGATCAGAACGCAGGACACAATGTGACATAAAAAAAATAAGCCTGCAAACTTGCACTAAAAAAATCTGCGAAACAGCGAGGTGAAAGGTGAACCGCGTTATAGCGAGGGACCACTGTCATTTTGAAGGTAAGTCACAACATACCCTTCGTAAATACTAATGTATAGAAACCCTTACCAGCAATCGTTCATTTTTTGTGTGGCTTTTTTTCACGATTTGTTAACATGCTGTGTAGGTGTGTACTTGACTAGCTGATCTTGACATGATGGGGGAAACATCTGGTTTGACTATTGTTCACCTGTAGTTTGAGTGCTGAACATTTGCCTGTTTAAATCATGAGACCAGTCACTATACAGAGATGTGCTTCTGAATGTGGGCGATGTGTCTTCTGCTGCAGTGATGCAGTTCTGCTTGTGTTGAGTGATGTAAACAACTGATCGATCTAAACTCTTTAAACGTCAAAACTGATCATTAGATTTTTTATGACACAACAGTGGTGAGTGTTCCCACCTTCTGCTCTTTGTAACTTAACGCAATCTTTCAGTTTTTGAGTTGTGGACATGGTTTTGGAGAATATCTTCGCAGTAGCGATTGACCGCAAAGTAAAGCTACCGGAAATGTACAACCCCACATCCGGTCTCAAACCAGGAAGTTAGCATTTTCTCGTGCACAGGGTCAATTAGACTTAATATACTTCAGTAAAAAAAGTTTTGACAGAAGACAGTATTTTTATATATGCAGTGAAAGCATAGTTCACTCAAAAAGTGCTACTTCTGCTATCAAACTGTTGCCATTTAAAACTGGGGGGTAAAACATAAGGCCTGGGGCCCAGAATCAGCTCAGCAAAAATTCAAATCTGGCCCACTTGATGTCTTTGGAAAATGTACAGAAGGGCATAGACTTTAGACTTTTCATTACAAAAGAAATGAAATAATAAAGAATCAAATTACAGAAAAGTTCCTATTTTTCACTTCATCTACTAGTGAAATGTTTTTATTGTGCGTCCACAGTAAAACGAATAAATAAAACAGGACAATTTCTGTCTAAAGTTCTAAAAGTTTGTTCTTTATAATTACAAGATAATCTGCACAATGAGCTATTAAGAAGTTATTCAGTAATTTTACACATTAATTTCTTTTAATTTAAGCCCAAACAGTTGTGCTGATGGATTTCTTTCATTAACTAAAGCAGCACATCATTTATCATGCAAAAATAAATAAATAAATGAAAAATAATTGAGATGTACTGTTAAAATCCCAGATGTCAGGGATTACATGTACACTTAAACAACTTTACTGACAGAAAAGGGACGTTTCACTGGTCCAGCCCAGTTAAGATCTGTCCTGGTCGTTGTGTCCTTGGGCAAGACACTTCACCTACCGCCTACTGGTGTTGGCCAGAGGGGCCGATATGACAGCCTCGCTTCTGTCAGTCTGCCCCAGGGCAGCTGTGTCTACAACTGTAGCTGCCTCCACCAGTGTGTGAATGTGAGAGTGAATGAATAGTGGCATTGTAAAGCGCTTTGGGTGCCTTGAAAAGCGCTATATAAATCCAATCCATCATTATTATTATTATTATTATTATTCTTAAGCTAGTTAACATCCCTGTTTTAAAAACATTAAAGGATTCTTAACTATTATTAATATTAACTACATCACTAAAACCAAAGGCACAGGGAAGAGTAGTGGATTACTTTGAATAATTAATTTAGAATTATTTACTAGCTTTAAACTGTATTTGGAGGCAAAGAGTGACCATGAAAACATTAACCTCTAGCAGTGCTGCAGTGATGTGCTTGCTTATGAGTATTTTTAAGTGAGCATATATTTACCTGGGCCCCCTCATTTCTAGCTCATAGCTATGCACAGAGTCAGACTCCTTTGACAGCGTTTGATGTTGAACCCTGCGCATCATGGGATACTGATGCACCGAGGAATTTGTTTGGGAAGTGTTGTGGAAGGGTGGAGGTTTGTTTCCAGTTTCACTGTCCCAGTCGTCCACTGCACTGTCATGGTCATCAAAAGCTGGGTGGAAGACAACAAAAACACAGTAAAGAATAAGATCATGTCCACCCTCTGCAGAATGCTGCCTGCACAGCCAAACAATGAAAATATTTGAGTAAATGGCTCCCTCTTGGGGTAACAGGCATGTATTACAAAGTGAAGGAAGTTAAAGCCCAAAATGACGGGAAATGATGGGATATGTTTGCTAACAAACATATCAAAGGGCCACATAACAGAACAACATGCTAACAAATGAGGGACTCACATTTTATATTTTGACCAAAAGAATTCAAGACTTTTAAAATTCATTTACAGCAATCATAAAGAATAAAGAGCTAACATGCAGTGGTACTTGTTTTCAGTAGGTACCATCCATACCATGCAGTCATAGACAGAAAATACAAGTGACAGAGGGGAGGAAACACCGCCATACGTACTCTGTTGGTCACTCCATCCAAAATAATTCCAACTGCCTGGTGGCATGGAGGCAAAAATTAAACTTTGTTACTGCAGAATGAAGCCAGTAAGTTTTCTGATGATGGCCGAATATGAGTGTAACATGGTACTGAGCACATCCAAAGAGAGATGGATGAGAACTATGTGAAGAAACGCGGTAAAGACGAAAATGAAGTAATGTGATGACTGAGTTAAATTCACACAAAAACAACAAAACAGAAAAAAGTATTTACAGTCAGTAAGTTCATATCCGTGAACACGTAACTACAAATTTATACTTTAACTACTTATTATTATCAGGCGGTGAAACGGCTTCACACCCAAAATCCAGCAGAATTTCTCATAGTAGCTGAAAATTATTGCTCCACTCATCTTACACAGAGTGAGACGACTTTGTCCAAATCAAAGGCTACGTTCACACTGCAGGTGAAAGCGCATCAAATCCGATTTTTTTTGACCTATGCGACCCATATCCGATCAGGATATGACAGTGTGAACGGCACAAATCCGATATTTTCAAATCCGATCTGGGTCACTTTCGTATGTGGTCCTGAATCCGATACATATCCGATGTTTCAGAAAGCGACTGCTGTTTGATGGTCATGTCGCATTAAATCCGTCTTTTACGTCACTGACACAAGACAGACGCCAATTATCAGCGCCGGAGAAGACATCGTGAACGCTTCCTGGCCATCCGGTGAAACTGTTGGGAAGACAACGTTGGAGAAACGTGAACATTTTATTTGTACTGTATAATCTGCAGATTCTGACAGAAATCTGCAACTATCCTTTGAAGCAGCGCTCCTCTAAAACAGCAATAAGGATCATTATTAGGTTATTTACATTATTATGTAAATAACAAAATAACTTAAAGCAAAAATTGGGAAACGTAAAGTCGTTGTGTGTGACGTCTTCTTTTGCGCATGCGGGCCGCTTTGAGCGTTCACACTAGAGCGCGTTTGCTGTCGCATTTTATTTGTAGTGTGGACGAGCAGACAAAAAAATCGGATTTGATCAAAAAATCGGAATTGAGCATTAAGACCTGCAGTGTGAACGTAGCCTAAGTCATCCTCAGCAGGGAGTGAAAGTTTAATACTTACAGCACTGGGAAGGCACAGATGGCATTCTTCTTCTCTGGCCCTCATCTTGTGATGGATACTGCAAAGATAAACAAAACATAGAGGAGAATTAAAAGCATTAAGATATCAAAGAAATGCCTTTATTGAAATATGAGCTTGTCACTGCAGTTCCTATAAACCCCTGCTGCTGTTTCCCATCTTATGTCACTAGATGGAAGCAGAGAAACAAAACGAAGTGCCACATCACTGAGAAGCCCACACAGTGTGAAACAATATGATATTAAAGCACAGAGTTTGTAGATAAAAACTCAAGCAGGTAAATATCAGAGTTGTGCAGAATCATGTTATATTTCTTTATAATACAAACACAAAGATTTACACAGAAGAATGAAAGCTTCATACATTCTGTAATGCGCGCTTGCCAAAGAATTACTCAATATCTCTAACAGCTGATTAATATATAATACAGTAACAGGAAAACAGAATATGCAGTGAAGTTACCTCATTATGTATACGCTCCAGTTTGCTGGTCCAGTACTGAGCCTCGTCTTCGGGAATGTCTGGATCAACGTATGGGACAGAAGAAATATGGAGCGAGTTAAAATAGTGACAGGCGACTACAAGGTGGTGAAAAAGAATGTGTGGAAGAAATACAACCGCATGGAAAAGGGGGATTTAGGATTAAATACATAACGGGAGATGACAGAATACGAGGCAAAGTGCAGAAAGAAATGAAGGACCATTTCTTTAGCTCCACCCTTCCATCATTTGCCACTCCTTCATGCTCCCTGCTCCATCCCATCCTATTCTGTCTGCAGGTTGATGGGGTTTCCTTTCAGGAAAACCTTGTTTCAGCAAAACCTTGTACAAGCAGATTTATGGCCATACTATCGAGAAAATTATCTAGATCCTCATACTCATATATACTCATATTTCATGCCTGGGTTTCTAAAAGTTAATTTTTATCAAAATAATTTTAAATGTTAGTAACTGGGTAATTGCCTTGCAGATGATATCACACTCATTGGCTGCAAAAACATATCTTTAAACTAAATTCTATTCATCTCAAATTGAATCATCAGTTGGACTTCAATCTATGAACAAACTACAGGTGATAGCTTTAAAATATATGATGTATGAGATTCATTTCACAAACGCTACGTCCACACGTACCCGGGTATTTTTGAAAACGCAGATTTTTCTATGCGTTTGCACCTTTCGTCCACACGTAAACGGCGTTTTTGGTCACTGAAAACTGAGATTTTTTAAAAAATCCGGCCAGGGTGGATATTTTTAAAAACTCCGTTTTTGCATTTACGTGTGGACGAGAAAAACGCAGAAAACGCAGCGTCAAAGGTGTGCGCATTTTTTGACGTCACACTGTGCACCTCGTTATTGTTTCGGTGAAATGAATTTCTACAATACTGTTCCTGTTAATTGTTCTCTCTGCAGTGTTTAAATGCTTACATATACACACACACTTACTGTCCCTCCACACATACGACTCGGTTCTGCTTCTATGTCCCAGCTTTGTTTAATATTTCCCACCGAGGCTTCTAGACTTCTGATTGGCCAACATTTCTGCACGGTTAGGAATATAGCGCCACCTGTTGCTTTGGCATGTTCCTAGCAGCGTTTTCCTTCATTTCTGCCTTTACGTGTGGACGGGATTATTTTTTAAAACGAAAACGGAAAATCTCAGTTTTCAAAAATACCCGTGTACGTGTGGACGTAGCCTAAATCTGTCAATCTGTGCCAAAACAGTAAAATCATTACAGAAACACCACAGCTAGAATTCAAAGAAATACGTCAGTGTGGCTCTTTGGCTTAACCATTGTTCAGTGGTGTAGCGGGTCAGGGGTGATGCCTTTTCTTAAGAAGAAAGCTGTTAAACGGTGATTCAGACTTTGCACAATGATATTCCTGCAGAATACAGTTAAAATTCCAACAATTACACCTTTCTTCTCTGCACTTTCAAACTTTTCACCCACAAGCTGAGTGTGCGTTACAAGAACGTTGAATTAGCCATGATCAGGACCTGGTGGCAATTTTATGTTTGTTGGATGTAAAAGAAAGTGGATTACTAGATTACTCTGAAAACGAAGAAACACTGTCAGACAGGATCTGAATTTCATCCTCCATTAGTTACTGTTTACACATTCACTTGGCAAAGTGAAAAACCTGCAGAGCTACCTGGTGTGGCGACAACAGAGCAGCTGAAAGTAGCTGAAAGTAGGGAAAAAGGTCACAAAATCCCAGCACTGTAATTCATATATGTCTGGTCAATGCTCAAGTATCAATGCAAACTGCAGCAGTCAAGTTTCAGTCAGTGCTGCAGCTCAAACTGCTCCGTGTTGAACTTTTTGGCTGCCAGGTTTCACACGTCTGCTTCACCTCTCATCCCTGCATCTCAGCCCGCAGCCTCCCCTCAGCTCACGCTGTCTCACCAAGCAGCTGTGCGTTACAATTTAAATGTTGTCAATGTGTTTTCTAGATGATATGTTGTGTTAACTGATGAAAAATAGAACTAATCACTGATTAGAACCTATGTTGTTAACTGCAGGTCACATATCTTCTCCTGTTTTTGAGGATTTATCAAAAATAGAAACTCTCCATCTTTTTTTAAGTTGAGCAGACATGAACCACAGTTCCACTGTTGACAAACAGTGAAGGTGGACGGAAAAAGGCAGCTCAAGGAGACACACTTCAGACAGCTTCTTGAGATTAATAGCTTGCAGATGAAACAAACTGTTCCACAGTCGCGCTGCTATTTCAGTCAGAACACTGATAGTGAAAAAAAATTATTTCCATTTGCAATAATTTACATTTGTATTTACGGCTCTGTTTAGAGCTCATCTTCCTGCTGTCCAGTGTGCACATGTGGAAGTGTGGAGGCAGCAAAACCCCAGCATAGAGCAGAGCAGGCCTCAGCGACAACAGATATGATGTTAATTGGGTTACATGCAGCACTGGGAGGAGGAGGTGGGTAACAATTAGGGGTGGGGGAAAAAATCGATACTGTGTAGTATGGTGATATTTTGTTTGCT